ATGGATCATTGTAAATTATAGCATAAGCTATAATTCTACTCAATGGAACGATTATGGTGTCCTGGAAGTTAATAATTCCATAATGTCATTTACCCTACACAATTTAATCCCCTACACAACTTACAGAATTACGCTTAAAGCAGCTACAGTCGTTGGCTTTGGACCGGAAAGTCCAGGTTTAACTGTAACTACGCACCAAGCAGGTTAGATTACTCAATGATCATTATCTGAATTTAATTGAACTTAATATATTTTACCTTTCTATACTGATAAAGTAAAGTAGTTAGAATATTAAATTATGTAGTTATAGCGTATTCTCATGATGAAAGTTATTTTTTGATATGTTTCTTAATCAAATATAAAACAGTGCCAGGGTCGTATCCGCCCTACATAAATTCATCCACGTTATCCGATACCGCAATTAATGTTTCATGGCAGCCATTACCGCTAATGGATCGTAACGGAATCATTGTCTTATATCATGTTCAGTATCGTTCTCTTCCATGGAATGATAACGGTGTAGTTCAAGTTGTTCCACCTAATACTACAACTGTATTAAATAATTTGATGCCTTACACAACCTACTATATCAGTGTTAAAGCGGCTACGGTGATCGGATTTGGATTAGCTAGCCCAAATACCTCATCTATTACGTACCAAGCAGGTTTGATTTGACATAATGAGAAAATAGAAATATAACTTTTATTTGTACTTTGTTTCGATTTCCATAATTACATTCAAATCAATTGACTGATTTCTAGAACTAAAGAATATTCTCTTGTTTGTTTTGCTTTTAACTTGTCGGAAAATATGAAATTCCATTATATTACAGCCCCGAGATCATATCCGAAAAATATAGTTTTATCAGTAACTTCGGCCACTACCATTGATATTTCGTGGCTACCACCAGCCCCTTTTGATCGTAACGGCATTATTGTATCGTATATGATATATTATAACGCTACCCGATGGAATAGAAATAAAGTCATTACGGCAAATAGCCCTAGGACAGCGATAACACTAAACAATTTAGTACCTTATACTACTTACTACATCGGTATTAGAGCAGCAACTGTGATCGGATTCGGACCAGAAAGTCCATCGAAATCATCTACAACTCACGAAGCAGGTTACATGCAAATTAATTTAAGTATTAAATTTAGCATAAAACCCCTACAGGCTCTCAATTTAAATCTTAATACTTATGAAGAGTTTTTACTTTTAATTGACAGTGCCTCTTTCATATCCGCAAAATGTTAAAGGCATTGCTAAATCCGCTACATCTGTTCTACTTTCTTGGCAGCCACTCCCTTCAATCCATCAAAATGGCATTATAATAATATATGCTATAAACTATAATTCTACTCGATGGAACGACAGCAGCAACATTCAAATGAATGCAACAGCAAGATCAAAATTAATAACTAATCTGATTCCCTTTACTACCTACAATTTTGTTATGAAAGCTAGTACTATCGTTGGATTTGGACCTGAAAGTCCAATTGTATCTGTAACGACAAATCAATCTGGTAACTTTGATTTTAGTGTTGTTAATACGTATGATGTTAATAAGATTATTTGTTTACATGTTTAATAAGACATCAAATAATAAATATATCATCTCCATATAGCACCTAGTAACAGTCCTCTTGTTCAATCGATTTCCCTTGTAAGCAATAATAGCATTCGAATTCAGTGGCAAGTATGTTCAAAATTTTAATTATCTGACTTAGTATACTGTTTGAGTTTATATATTAGCTTTGTACGATATTAAGCATATCACAATGTGCACGTTTTAATAGGTTATCTCAGTAAGGGAACGCAATGGAATTATATTAGGATATCAGCTTGTTCTCAACAATACTAAATTTGGACTTGTTAGCAATCGTACCCTCTATCAAAATCAGACATTGCTGACTGGAAGATCAAGAAACTATACAGCATTCAACTTGAAATATTTTTCGCAATATAAAGTATCCATATATGCTTTTACCGTAGCCGGTATGAGCCCCGGTAGTAATGAGTTAACTATCCGCACTTTGCAATCAGGTACACTCATTGGTTTGTTATCTTTCAAACTTATTTCACTTCATTATTTCTTACTGGTAGTAAATAGTAAAGCTTATTTAGTCCGTTTTATTGCAAGTTCATTTCAAGAATATGTTGACAATAATGTTATTTAATCATGTAATGATGGCAACTAACGAATTTTTGATAGTGCCCAGCGCTGCTCCTGTAGATGTAAGAATATCACCAACAGCCAACGGAGCGACTTCTGCTATAGTGGCATGGAGTATTCCTACATTATTTAATCAAAATGGTATAATAACTGGTTATCACATTAAATACTTTCCTCTAGATCAACTGCAAAATGAAACTGTAATCAGTTTAGGTAATATTACGCAATATACACTACTAAATTTAAATCCTAAGCGCAACTACTCCATACAAGTAGCAGCAGCCACTTCAATCGGTATCGGTCCATATAGTGCAGCGACTATTTATGAAACGCATGAAGCTGGTATGTCAATTATTATAACGAATTCTAAACCTAACTGAAAATAGCTTTATATCATTCTTTATTAGCGTAATATTTGATAACAAACATAGCATTTTTGATTATCGAATCGAACAGTTGCTCCAAATGTTACTCAATCACCTCGAAGTAGTGTAGTAAAAGCTGGAACTGTTATTAGGCTAGAGTGTGCCGCTACTGGTGATCCTACTCCAACTACTAAATGGATTAAAGATAATCAACCAATCAGTACAGTTTATAATGTATTAACAAATCCCGGTTATGGTAGACTAATTGTCACAGATATTGGTACGGCAGATAATGGATCTTATTGGTGCCAATTTACTAATATTAAAGCTACTATAGTAACTGATGCAGCAATTATAGCTGTGGAGGGTGAGTTGATGGTATTGAACTGATGGATTATATTATGTCTTTTTTTGAAAAGTTCAGTTATTCAAACTTCTTTGTTCAAACATTTCCTTAATAGACTCCAATACAACAGGATTCTGCATAGATGAAATAGTAAACAACATGCGATGGCCAAAAACTTATGGTGGACAAACTGCAATCGTTTCCTGCCCTTCACCAATTCAGGGTATTTTATATATTGCACTATAAATTTAAATTATCTAAAATTTTAGAATTACATTATTGAGTCACATTGTCAGGAGAACTGATCGTGATCGGAGTTATTTTATTAATTATATTATTAATAATTTTATTCAATACAGGAAATGCTACACGTTTATGTACTGCTGGAATCAATAGAGCATCCACTTGGGAACAAATTGATACAACAGGATGTCAGTCACCAGCATTTGCGGCCGCGACCAGTTTGGTAATGATATACATATTTCTATGATATAATTTTATATTGATTACTCAAGATAAAATTAAGTTGTTAAAAGCTGTATGCTAAATTCTTTTATTCACTTTCATTTTTGTATTGTTACCTAAATATCTTGAAATCATAATTATTATCCAGATAAATAAACTAGACTCAATTGGCCAGGGTGCAGCTAATGAGACCTTAACTGAATTGGAGACATTGTCTGCTAATAAGACTTTATATGGTGGCGATATTATTAAGGCAATAGAAATCTTAACCAAAATTAATCGCGTTTCAACATGGGTCGACGCACCTTTGCTTACTGTAAGTTCTGTTTCTACTTCTCCAATGTTATTCTACTTATACAGGTTATCTCTTTCTAAAAGTACGATGATATTGCAATTATACGTAATTTACTAACCTCATTAAATTAAATTAATATCCCGAAGATAGATTTTATAAATAAAAATACTGCAATATTCATTTGCTATATTATATTTCGATAAATAGAATTATGTGAATGTTCACAGTAACCTACTAAATTCGGACAATAAGAATGCCTGGAAATATGCAAGCAAGGTATCTTTTGTGCAAAGCGATATATCGTTCTATGGAGATCAAAATAAGTTTAATCTTTTTTGAAGTTATTGCTTGGCTATGATTTTCTATGCTCTTTGAAATTAAATCAGCCGAAGAGAACATCAAAATTTTCAAATTTTATAGTTTTGTCTAGATATAAATGGTAATACAGTTTCGGTGATGGATAATTTGGAAGAATTTGCAAGTAAAATGAATGACACTTCGAATAACAAGACAATTACAATACTATCTAATAACATAGGTAATAAAACTTATCGCTATTAACTTATTTCGTATAATATAGTGACTGTCTCTTAGAATATATTTTATTATATTGGATATTTTTATGTTGTACGGTATTATTTGTTTGTTAATAAATACCTGTTATTTAACTATACTAATATTATAATAATTAATTTAAAATTTGGTATCGTAGTACACATCTTAGACTGATTCACAGTCGCTTGATAGCAACAAACATGCGCTTAGCTACTTTTCTTTCTGCAATACTTTTGATTGTAGCCATCAACATACGGAAATTGAATACTTTCGATAGCAATTCTTCCAACATTATCTATGTGGATGATAAAAACCTAGGAACAAACATGCAAATGATAGTGCCGGGAAAAACTGTTCAAAATCATCAGTGTGAGCATTGTATATGATATATTTTCCATGAATAATTAAACGGAATTGAAAACAGATAAATTTATGGATATTTAGATAATTTAGACTTCTATTTAAGAAGTAATTTTTATCCCTTACATCTTCAGTTCAAAAGCAAGTAATTGTTATATATAAAACTCTTGGTAATTTGATTCCGGCAAATCTACATAGAGATAGGTAATGCTTAGATAATTGTCTCAGCCATCATGATGTCATCTTATGATATCTGTCATTTCGAGCGTATCATAATTACAGCAATTAAATCAATTCAATCGCTTTTTTTGTTTCCAATGATAGGAATGCGACCAGTACTGGTGTGAATAGTGTCAATTCACATATTATTTCAACTTCTATGTATCCTAATGCAGCCAAAAATTTATCTCATCCATTGCAGATCACCTTTGTAAATAAAAATGTATGTTAACGAGCTTTCTAAATATTATCTCAGATATTCGATTTCTATCAAATATTAAATTTTCGTAGACTGGAATAATGGTAGAGAAATTAACATAGCTTTATATATTAATATGTTACGATATTAACTTGAAATAATTTTTAGGTAAATTAAGTTATTTTATAAATTTTATTACAGGCCATCAATTCAAATAATAATTATGTTGAAATCTCCTGCACGTTTTGGCAATCTAAATCTGGGTAAATTCTAATATTTTTTCATTGTTAATCTTGTTATCTTCAACTATATCTAAATTTAAAAGTAGTTTTCTTCATCTTATGATTAATAACTATTTCTAACGTATAGCTGCGTATGAAGGCTACATACAGTATACTTATGGTTATAATCAATAATATATTAGTAAACATATTTATAATCAGTTTTGTCGTCACCGCAATTTATTAAAGAATCAATTATTTGAGGCTTAAGCAATTATTGCAGTTAAGATGTAAACCCATTAATACGAAAATAATAATTTGTATAAAAACAAGGAGGAATATGAAAGTCAAATTTTGGCGTAGTGTGTAATTTAACGAATTTTACTTACGAAATTAACGGTAAAATGTTGTTAATTCTTGATCAACAGTCTATGCGGATGGTCTACATCTGGATGTTGGAAAGATTTAAAGTCTAATTCAACGCATACTATTTGCTATTGTAACCATACTACTACATTCGGAACCATTCTTACTCACTTACCTGTAAGTGATTCTTAACTATCAAGTTCAAATAATTCGGTTACATGATACCAATATGCAGTCTTAATTTAAGCGAGACTGCTGTCTAGTACAACTAACGTAAACGAACGTTTAATCACCTTATTACGATTTATCCACAATAACAATTGATACCAAACATGATACAGATACTGCGGCCTACCCAGAATAATAAATAATCTTAACTAAGTTAAATGTATAAATCAGGATACCATAGAATTTATGCTATTTAACGTATTGAAATTAACTTAATCATTTACTCAAAGCTGAATACATCCCATTTATAAAAATACTGTTGATTATTAGTAAATTACAAGAAACACGTTTCCAGCGTTACTATTATATAAACATTCATAGCATGCACACATAAGCTTAAATAAATATAAAACATTAATTTAATACAAAAAGGATCTTAAAGTTTATTACTATTCTTTAATATTAATTTTAATCTCCGTACTCACTGAGTGTTACGGTTTCATTAACTTACTGATCTGATTTTCCATTCAATAATAGCAAGATAAAATTAAACTGGAAGTTATTATTTATATTGGTTGTGGCTTGGCTAGCTTCTTACTTGCCCTAACTATCGCAATTAATATTATTTATTGGAGGTACGGTATCTACGTTGATATTTTAATATAATAGCTTTAAACGGCAATATATGATTCATCTACCTGAATGTTAATTAAATTAACTCGTTTGGTTTTAATTTTACAATATTGATTCTGAAGGGATCATCTGAAATTTTTCTTGCAGTTGATATACGAATACTAACATACTTATAGTGTAAAATGTCATAAAATGTCCATTCATTTGGATAAACTTATACATTAGACTTTATTTTAATTTTAGCGAACTTGAGCATTATAAGAAAAAACTCTACATCAATTCGGAATATAATTATATGTATATATATATATAAACTTAAAACTAACTTCTATCTATTAAATATAAAATTTACTCTTATTTCGATGACTTTAATTCTTGGAAATTAATTAGACGAACTCCTAAAATTCTCGGCATCATCAACGTTAGTATGTTCATCTGCATACTTATTGCCAATATCATTGTCATTTTTGGATTAATAGAGACAGAGTCAAAGGTTTGATCTCATATAATATATAATTTTAATAAATTGTAGTGCAAAATATCATGTAATGGTAAATGTATATTTCACAGTTAACATTACACATAAAAATTAATTAATCCTTTGATATATAAATGTATTCTTATATCTTAAATATAACTTAACCGCAATATGTACTCGTTTAATGTACTCTCTATGTAATAATACATGTAGCTACGATGTACCATCGTGGCAACGATCCTACACTATGTGTTGCTTGCAGCCTTTGCTTGGATGCTCTGTCACAGTTTCTACCTATTTAGTTCATTGACCAGCAAAGATGGTAACGGCAAATATTGCAAAAGCTTTATATTTGCTGCTTTCAGTAAGTACGCTACTAATTAAGTGAAGTAGTCTATCTGATATAAGGTACTGCTCACAAAATCATGAAATAATTTGTAACATAATTATTATTGCAGATGAAATTTAGTAACTGATTTTAATTTTCACTCCTACACTACTCAATATGGTAATCTATGGGTAAAAAATAGATGATGTACAATTAAGGATTTTACTTATTGTGGATGTTATAGTTTTAGCTTTAGCTATTGCCATTGTAACCGCTGCTGTTGCCATTAACGGGATGGGAATGCAAAACTATATACAAAATAATTCGTAAGTGAAATACCTATCAGATAAATACTATGGTATCATTAACATCAGCTTTTATCAAATATACGGTGTAGTAGGCCTTAGTGAGCACCAAGGGGGTGTATTAAGTTAATACTTCCTGCAATTGCCATTAATTGTTCTTTTCATCTATTGTAACGAGCTCACACGAACCTTCTCTTTATAAACTGAAATAAAGCTAACATTTATCTTAAATTAGTGTAGCCTAACTTTATTATGAGTTACGGCAGTATAGAGTAAGATATAGTAAATCTTTGATCACTTTAGCAAGCCATGATTTGAAGTTCTTGGTGATACAAATGCAATAAACTTAAATTTAGAATCTTTGAAAAATTAAGCTGATCATTTTATTTGTTATAGGTGCTGGTTAAGAACTAATCCGCAAATTGTTTTGGTCTTCGTCATTTCTGCGCTGTCGATGACATCGGTAAACAGTGCCGTGCCATAAGATGCATTACTTTTACACTGACATTGTCCGCTATTTTCTTTTTATTAGTAATTTATATGTTCGTAATTGATAACACGAAAGATTTTTCTATCTACATTTGACTTTAACCGGTAACACAATACATCTAACTATTTGCCTATCGATAAGCAATATTTTTTTAATGCCATTATTTTCTACTACGGAAAATGAGTCGTTATGCGCTATTGCACCGTGAGCATCAGCATATTATCGAAGATAGATAATAAATCTATTCATTGATTAGTATAGAGACAAACTTTAATTATGTAAAAGTTCTGTAATCTACCGGTATCTCGCAATTTTAAATTACTGAAATATTTTCGCGAAAAGATTAGCTAGAACGCGAAAAACTTCATCAATTAAACTTCCGTACTTAAAATACGCATTTAAAACTATAATTTATTGATGTTCTGTCTAAGCGTTATTTAAGTAGAACCGTTAAAATTTTCTTTCGATTCATGCAAAATAACACCCAGTTGTTCACTTGATAAATAATAATTTTAAAGCAATATAAAGTATTAGAATGTAAAATTTGACTGAAGTTACTTTTATAGGTTAGTGCCATACTAATTGTACTAGGCTACAAGAATTTAAGACAGACAAGAAGTATAAAATTACATACCGAAAATGACGTGCCCTATTTAATGAAGTAAAATAAGATTGCAATATCCTATTCTGTAATTGCATTTCCGTTTAAAAGTGATCAAGATGTAGCACTGTAATAAACTATCAACAAAATTTTGTGTTAAAAATTTTAGGAGTTTTTTGCCAGCGGCCTTAATTCTCATGCTATTACTTGTTATTGACTGGACGCTGTTTGTATTATTTGTTGCCATCGGTAATGTTGTACTGCAATATCTTTTCGCCGTAATCAACTTTTTGCAGGTAAATGTGTAGCATTCTTAGTTATTGTATACGGTTTGCAGTTTTTGATATTATCATTAACATATTTAAATAAGAATTAGAATTTGGGGACTTTTTCGATTTGATTTAATTATTTCTATTTACATCTTCTACCTATTGCTCGTTTATATTTATTTTTACATGCAATGTTCGAATTATGATTTGAAGAGACTACATACAATTCTGTTACTATTTGTCTATATTGTAACTAGGAGGTCTAATTAAATTTTATTACTGAAAAAATTCAATTTATTACTAGGCACTATATATATTTGCCTTTTATGGACTTAAGCAAATTATGTGCGGTAATATCGATCAGGTAGGCAATCATGCTCTCAATAATCTAAATATGTGTTACAATTACATATATTTGAAAGTTGTAGGCATGAGTAATCATAAGTAATATTCTCTCTAGAAAATTTCTAAAGTGTTTGTTTATTAGCTGATGATCTATACTTCACGACCGAATATTACTATAAACTGAATTTTAGAATAAAATATTGAATTAAAAGATTAAATTGACAGCAATGAATAACAAAACTATTAGATTATAAAATGAACTGAATCTCTACTTTGTAGATCCTAACTAATAATCAATATTATATTACTGTATCATGATCAACCTAGGATCAATCAAAAGCGAGCGAATTGGAATTGACAAGCATCAATAAGCAAAAACCAAAAAAATAATAAGTATTTAGTTTATCTGCGTTAAGGATGAATTATTTAAATACTGAATTATTAATCGATCTAGTTTTTAATTTTATCGTACATTCTTCGCTGGGTAAATTAGGATTGTTAAATATCAAATTCAAAAATTTACTAGAGTAGTTTTAATCTTCCGCTGATGCATTCTCTACAATTTTGATATGTCTGGATACCATATTTACAATTTAAATTTATTTTAAATATGAATGGAACTACTGAGGATTTTCGGTTTTTGCTAGTATAGAATCTAATACAGTAGTATTATTATACTCATGCTTAATCTCTAACAAGCTATGACTAGAAAAGGTGTACCGATTAGTACGCATAAGCTAATCGTTCCAAGTAAATAGACACGTAAAACATTGCAGAAAAATGAAAAAGTTATATATTTTAACCGATCTTTACTTCTAACTTGTTGGCTTGTGAATTAAAGTTGGTATTTTTACTTAGGTACTCATACGTATATTAAACATAAAGATAGAAAATTTTAATTGTATAGTTTGGCATTTCAAATTGATTAACTATCAATTATCATTTAAATTTACAGTAATGCATAATTATTTCAATAGACTATCTGTTCTGGCATATCGGTGATGATTTATGACTATATTACTAATTTGATAAAAATTGTAGAATAAAATCTTAAATATTATTTGGAGATCCTTTAATTCCTGTTTACGTAAAATCCAAAGATAGTTCATTCCACTGCAATAATAGTAACATAGTAACTTAACCATCAATTTGCAGTATAGGATTGATCGTAACTTTTATCACTTATTACTTTGTCTTCAGCTGTATAGCGGAAAAGTAAAAACAATAACAACAAAGCTCGACATCCTGGCTCCAGTAGCTTTATTCCAAGATATCTATAGTAGTAGAGTTGTTTGCATAGGATTCAAGTACTGGCAACAAATAAGTAATTGATAATTACAATCATTCATTCAGTGTAGTAAATGAACCAGTTTTTGACTCTATTAGCAATACTATTATTTGCATGTCTGACTATATCGTATGCTCTTGGATATCTAGTCCAGAATCATTGAGTACAACTGTATAACAAGTCTACATCAAACGTCAAATTTGTAATGCATCCATTCAATGAAGTATAGGAAACAATGAAAATGACATTAATGTAAACTACTATGTTTGCATTATTTTATCGGTGGCTTTCTGATAAGAGTGCAATTATGCAATTTGTAGGTTTCAAAACCTTTTCCATACTTTACATCAGACACGTAGTGCATCCTGTCAGTACGAAGAGCAGGCTAATAGACGCGAATCAAATACAATTTGTATCATTTTATGCTGTTGATCTTTGCGACTTTACTCTAGCCTTGGACAATATTTTCGAGTCGGACAACACGATGCATAATCCGTAATCTATGAAGTAACATTTTATTATCGTAAAGTATTGGAGAAATAAGTAGAGTAAAACTGCGGAATATGTTATTCGATTAGACAAGCAATTCTAAAGTGCATCACTATTTTATAGTATGCCATATCTTTGCCGGCTAGTATTACACCAAAAAAGTACGTTGATCAACTACAACACGCTATAAAGATAATTGATCAATGCTAGCTCTAACTATAGCTATCTTATATAGCCGAACGTCTAACAGGATGAAAATCATTCGCTAGGAAATACTGATAAAACTGCGCTGTGAAAAGTGAATAAAGATTCACTGCATCCCATTCTTATTGTCCTACTGCTATATACAGTAGAGCCAGCTTGTACATACTGTATTACTTGACTATATCAATTGTAATAATATTAATAGGTATCCAATAGTAGTTGTTCATACCTTCTTGATACTGCAACATTATCAAACATTGTTCTGTTAAAGTTATCAAGCTACCTTACTATACCTATGTTATTATCTATTGCAAATTGAACAATTTTATTATGTTGCAATTGTGAAGTAAAACTGTGCGGCTGCAGTGATCCGCATCGGTAACAATGTGCGGTTAATTTATGTATAGAGGTGTTAATTGGTAAGGTGCTTTTATGCTTAACCTTCAAATCACGTACATAATTTGCCCTGATTAATGAATATATACCGTAATTATCCCTTACTTTGTATATATGCGTAAAGATAAGTTAAACATTGTTTTCAGGTGTCGATATTTTTTACTTTATGACACGAACCCCTTATGCACGTTTATAAAATGTAAAATTATCATTACCATTGAAAGGAAATGCCAACAAGAATCCTGCGATGAACATAATTTTACTCTGACTGAATAAGTTGCGATGATCAATACAAGTGAGTATACCATCCTGTAGTGCCACCGTTGCTTTGAATACTTCCTGTGTTTGCTGAAGATAAGAGCTTCTCCACTCGTTCCGATGAACTAAATTTATCCAAGCTTTATCAATATCCTCTTTCACTTTCATAACTTTTTCTCCTTCTGAAGATTCCTCCAGTAAACGTTGTGCCTCAGCTCGTATAATACTGACCTGCAAAAGTATAATATTATATCCTTTATGCATTCTATCTGGTGTTGGTTTAATACTTTCGATATTCAATTGCATTGAGCTTCCTGATTTTCGAAATTAGCAAATACCAATTGGAAGTTTTGATGTATACGGCATAACGACGAAGTGGTATTTAGGTTCAATCCAAGGTCATCGACAAGAGATTGTTCCTTAAACTGTTGAGAGAATAAATTTGGATAAATAAAGTCAGTGGGTATGAACTGCTCTAATCACAGGAGGGTTAAGAAACAGTTAAAGTAATACCCCAGTAGTTTTATTGGCTATTGAAACTAACCTGCAATTCTAGTACTAAGTCATGAGCATCAAAGTAGTACTTGTATAATTCTCTTGTCTTACTTAATAGCTGTCAAGAATAAAATGACAGATACTGATATCAATTACAAAATATAAAACAAAATAATCAGATGACATCCTTAAAAACTATTAATTTCGAGACTTGATCTCCAACTAAATACAAAAGGGCAGTACGAGAATAATTTTAATACTGCATTGGATTCGATTACAGTCTTAAAAATCTAGAACAAACCTCTCGTCTTTGTTTTACTTGCTGCATCAACTCGTCCTACGTTATATCCACAGAATTTATCCATTCCTGTAGTGTCTCTGTTTTTTTTGGACATGCTTCAATAATTGCGTTACCTTCTGCATGGGCCTTAGCGATGCGGTCAGAAGCTTGGATTTTAGATGTATCAACCTATTTTTCAAAAGCTTTGCTTATAACCTGTCAAGAGAAATATTATCTTGTATAAGAGAAGTAATAGAACACCATCATTTAATAGCTATCCTAATAGAGATAAAAAGCTAGTGCACAGACGAAGTAATAAATAGTGTTATTTTGATCATCTCTACAGAACCTTACCTCTAATTATACAAGCATTACTATTCAATTATGTTAGGCTATATCCTGAGATAAGACTATGAAGAGCAGGATAACAAATTCTCTAATGTAATAATAACTAATGAAGTAGCAGAAAATAAACTGAGTGTAGAATGTTATTGATGTGCGATATTGATGTTTAGAATTCACCATCCTAGTGTAGTTACTGAGTAAAAATGTATGCCCTGGCTTGATATTATGAAATTTCTATTATCCAACAAAGCATAATGTAACAGGAAAGAAATCCAATATTGGGCATTATTGGATGGACTATATTAGTATTGAGCATGAATTATTCTGCTCCATCTATGAATCAGAAATTGAAATGTTTTTTTATATAAATTGGGAAGGACCAAATATAATAATTGTCCTAAACCAGAAGTTTCTGACGAGACTGTCAAAGTCTGGTGCCTGAAGACCCACCCTTAATTAGTTAGTCGGTTAGATAGTCAACTAGTTTATCAATGGCTATTGAATTGTCAAGACTATCATCTTGGGTGATCAAGATTTCTTCAGTAATCAATAGTAGTCCATCTCTGACTACTTCATCTACACTATCAGTGACGCTATCATTCTATTATAGTATTCGGTCGTTGGAACTGAATTATTAGACGATATAGCGAATCTCGCCTCTTGAAATCAGTAAGTGGCGTTCTCCGCAAGGATTAGCGTGTGTAGACTACTTTGTCACTAGTGGTGTGTGACCCCATGTCATTTTCGTATCCAATATTTGGATCAAAGTAGAAATGAAATTGATTGCAATTTATACCACCATTTTTAGACATGCATACAGCTCATTCAAAGATGATCCATGTCGGTAGAAACTAGAGTATTTGCACGTTAGTTTTAGTTGCATTTTTTCCCGGTGAAAGTATCCAAAACGAAATGAAAGACGCTGACAGTCGTGAACACTTGTACTGTATCAGACTATCAAACCATGAAGATCTACAGCGTGATCCTTTTCGTTTTACATAAATCAACACTAATGTTTTGCGATATTTTGAGAACGAAATTCATCAACATCGTTCTGTGTGGAAAGAAGAAGCTCTCAAAAACATAACCAATGCACTATCGTTTGAATTACTTTTGACATGATTTGGTCAATATTAAAGCATTTACAGTACTTATTTATTTATAATCTGGAACGAGAAAGATCACGCGGTACAGTACAGTATTAAGTACAGGAACGTACTGTAGACTCGGTACTGTACACTGTACTGGAAGAACACTTTCAGCGCTTCAAATTTGGAGGCCTGCAAGATTTCAACTCATCAAAAACTACACCGCTGACAGGGCTATGCTTGAGGTAGCGAAGAAAGCGCGCTCGAGTTTATAAACGATGTCCTACGTCGATATATTGTCTATAGTTGGTATTCCAATGGTGTACTGGGATGATTTTACATGCCTTTTTGACTTCCTTACTAGCTTGCATAGGTCGTGATTTTACTTGCAGTACTTTTCACTCTGTACCACCGACTTCAAGACTAATGTTAGGGTTAGGGTACTGTACCCAGTCTTCAAAGTCCGTGACTGGACTACCGGATGTACGGGTGGATGGACACTCGTCCAGTGCTGTACTCTACGGGTAAATGTTTTTCTTACTCCATACTTGAATATGGAGTTCAACACTTTAGTATCAACCAATGGAACATACTGTACAGTAATATACAATTCTACAGTAGAGATCCATGACGCACCGTAGCTGAGACAAGTTCTTCCTTATCCAAGCAAGTCGACAGATTAACGCATTATTGAGAGGGAGAAGTAGAAGTGGTGCATTGCAAAGTGTGCTTGTATCTTCATGGCTAACGAAGAGGAGAGAGAAAACATCTTAGAAGTGGTAGGTTATTCACAGCTTTGCAGTAAGCCTGATGAAACCATGTTCTATTTTGCTTAGTTGCATCATTCAGTCAAGGTAGTCCAAAATAAACTAGAGTAGGACCACGCGTACCGCTGTATACGTAAGAGGATTGTTTACTGTCTTTAAGAGGATTGCAACCATCCAATGACTGAATCCCTATCATTAGCGCAAGGAATGATAGAGAGAGACCAATCGAATGGATGCTAATCAAAAGTAGTATCTTGATCATTTAGTCAATCAATCCACAAGTACAACTACTACTGGTAAATAAAATAGTACAAACCTATAGCTAATATCAAATACGCAATGCAGCGATGTAGTACTATTTCAGCAGCCAATGACTTTGCAACTTTACTCTAGCCATTGACTGCACTTTCCAGTTAGGTAATTTCCATGCAAATGCGTTACTCATGAAACAACATGTTTTTACAATAGGTCAAAGCCAGCTCCAATCGTCAAGATTGTCAAACGTTTGTTTTACATGGTGAAAATCATACGCTTGGAAATGCTGTTCGATATCTCATTATGAAAAAGTAGGCAAGATGAAATTGTACACCATTCTAGTTGTCTTCCTGCTCAGTAAAGAGCGATTCTGTAGTGCATAAACACCACACAGCAACGCATCTATCAATTGAATCAACTATTCCTTTGATAACTTGTGGTGTTGTACAATGTACAGTACGGAATCACCATTACTTACTTGATATCTTGACGGTAAAGCTAAGAATTTGGTGTAATACTATACAAATTGCTATAGAAGATACATACATACGCGTGCAGTAGTAGTTCATGGTCAAATATTCAAAGTGATTCAGTGATGGTGATCGAGCTACCGCCCTATTCCTACATTTTAGATATTACAGTTTACATTGGCAGGGATGATACACTCATTACATTCTTTTGCAAATCCCTGACACTCGATCAATGCTTATCATATAGCTTGCATTATAACAGTTACAATTTCTTGATATTATCTCCATATGTAATTACTAACTAAAAGAAAATACTACCTACTTTGTTATTGACTTTTCAAAATTGAACTATTTTATTGTAATATAGTCCTGAGACGAAACTTTGTGGCTACAGTGTCCCCCATCCGTCACAACATAAGATAAATCTGCGAATAGAAACGAATAATGGTAAGATGTTCGTACTGTATCGTCAAACATCTACAATATGCTCTAATTAATTATATTATTGAATCTATAGAATCCTTAGTTTGTACAAATAAAACAGAAAATTACCTTCAGTAGTAGAAGATGCTCAATAGACGTCTGAGCTTTTACCTTCGTGACTTGAGTATTTCATGTGCTACGCATTTATCGGACGTATGTCTACTATTGTAGCTTGAAGTAGACACGTATAAGAACCCTGCTGTAAAGACAGTTTTACTTCACCTATCAAATCCTGTACTTTCATCCAATAAACCATATCCAGCTCCTTAGTAGACCAAATCACAATCTACATAATTGCGTAATTAAAATATGTTATTACGTACTATAAATGAGCTGCTTTAGAACTAATGACCAAAATTCGCTTTATGGTTTTTACTCTTCATGTATTTTTACAGTTACTTCTTTTGCGCCTAATACTAAGCTCTTTTATCTCTTGTGAGCTTAGAAAAAGATGCTATTGAAGTATTTCGTACTGGATTACAAGATTTGGATCAAGTTTGCGATCACGTTCTGAAGACGTTTGATGTAAGTATACCTTTTGGCTAAGTTGCACAAAGCGATACACAGGTGTCTGCGACCCGTACGTTCAACGTCCATATAGTTATGCTGATAGGATAAGATTCAAAAGCTGGCTTTTATATTGTAGAAATGGAGTTCGTATGTATTGTTATTAATTAATTTCTACTTTGTTGGACCTTGCAATCAAAGGGCTGTAGCTTATGCACTACGTAATGGACGCTGACGTAGTTTATTGCACATGTGTGTATGAACTACTGATGTGCCAATATACTGCAGCAACGTACCCAAACTCGTATAGTATCAAACGGTATAGCTATTATATCCTCTATCATTTTCGCCAGTGAGTAATATTTCCATATGTAAACAAGATTGAAATCATTGCTATGACACTGTAATATCTCCAATTGCTAATAATTTGCAAAGCCTACATTGATACACATCTAAATGGCATCTTTTTTTACGTTGATTGCAACCGGAAAACCTAACACGTTACAATGCTTGATAATAAGTTTTAAGTTTTATTACTTGGCATCGTTGACATTGACTATCGGAAAGCCCTATTACTAATTGGATACTTAGGCCATAAAAACTAAATATTTCATATATTGTTAATGCTTTCTTACTGCACTAATGTTATCTATCACTTTGTTGTATTGATGTCTAGGAATGCACAGGTAAACACCAAAGTAGTTGATTGTACTCACTCATATTGTGCAGTAAATCATGTTGGCTCACTCCTGTAAAGACTATATATTCAAAGTCGTTTTATTAGAGCCATAAAAATGACAACCTTGTAGCATAAAGTGATAGCAAATATTGCACTAAGTTGCATGAACAAATTTTACAAAACAGGATATGGCATGTATATTTTGTCTGTGATATTTTAAGGTAAATTAAATTTACACATAGATACCTCAAGGTATTCTACCCTGTTATGTAATTTTTCAAAGTAAATGATATGTTTTTATTCTAATGTAAATGATAAAAAATCTACGCAAACATAACTGATTTTGTAAAAGCATTCTTGCTATTGTCATGGATCTTCTGATAGTATTAAACTGCATTATAAAATCACATGCACTACTTTATCTTCGATAAATAGACTACATGGGTTAAATAATTTGACAACTTTATTGAATTATGCGTAATTAATATCATTGATTATTCTATAAATTCCTCCTAGTTATTACTATTCCACTTTAAATAGCAACTGATATTATTGACTACGATATTTTTTTGTACAATCCAATAACAACTGTAACAATACTGGTTGTACTTTTATGAAAGATATAAGACTAATCCAAGACACAATCGAAGCGGTTGTATTGTTGCTAATTCAAGTTTTCGCAATGTAAACGCAGCATCTTCCCATTTTCAACAATTGAACATTACCGGTACGTGTAAATTATTCAATTCCTAGCATGCAGCGTGTTATTTATCTTCCAATACATGGTATTCTGATGAAGATATCACATGTAAATAACTTGTCTGATAACTGGCCCAATACAATTGACAGTAGCTAATTGAACAACTTAGTAGGCTGAAACTTATTACATACTATCCGGTTTTATAGTTAAACAATTTACTAGATAATAATTTACATCTCTGTTGACCTTTCCCTAATAAGAGCACGCGATTTCAGGGTCCGTTGTGCGTGTATTTAAGTTTGGCAATAGGAAATCTAGTAATTCTATGCCATACGAATCTCGTTAATTCAAACATATGGTAATGGCAACGATAAATATATAGCACTATAGTGTTGCCATGTATTCGTGCTTGGATCACGTTTTCATCAATGTTTGCATATTGCATTATTTCAATTATGTCAACAGATAGTACCTTTACTTACAGACAATATCATGGTGATAATGTGTCCCTGAAATTGTTTGTCTGTGGTACTATGCCGTTCTAAAAATTGATCGCGCCTTGCCATAAAGACTACCTATACGATAGAGGTGATGATATATTTGAAGATGTCTGTGATAATATGGCTACGGTAAGATTGCGGTATGCATGCACCTCTTACATAATACCTACATAAATTTTATTTTATTTTGCATATCGAATAAGTTGTATCTTAACGAATCACCTACAAACATAACTGATCATTACAGTATCATTCTATACAACGGAAATTTAAAATGCGTGCATTGATGAGCTAATCGAAGAAAGCAATATTTAAGCGTATTTACATTATAAGTTTAGTTCAAGTCATTACGTGTTAGACTATTTCTTTTAAGCTGTTAAAGCATCATGGAAAATTTACAATCATACCAAACGATTGGAAGCATTTTGTTATTAATAAATAAGTTAAAGTTTAATTAATTATAATTATTTACAAGCAGGAAATACGATTCTCGCTTATGATGAGTTTGTGGGTCGTGAAAAAGTTTTATTTATTTATTAAATATGATATTGATTGGCAGCAGTCATTCAAGCACCAATTAGAATAACTTATCAATCTTGGCGTATTAGCATAGCATGCACACAAGTAATTTTATCAATAGCTACCTTTAAATATGGATATGATTACTTACTTTACTTTAATCGCTTTAGCAGTTTAGGATGTTATTAATTTGTTGTACATTTTATGAAGCTCAATCACGCTTGTGAGATTGAACCTTCTATCAATTGTTCGATATGTTTAGATCCCGCTTAAATTCTGTCCATTATTTCAGGTCGATCGAATTTCTCATACTCTTGGAGTATTTCTATTGTAGTGTTACAGTAGACTAAATGATCAATATAAATCTGCGAAATTATGCATTTATTTGTTGTTTTTAATCTTGTATATAATCCTGAGCACATACTGTACTGCATACTCTTGCATGCCTCTAAATTGATTGAGAATATTTGATTGCAAAAATCTCCGAAGATTTACATTCAGTACAGTATAATATGATACATAGCAGGTGACTTTAATAGTAGCTACTGTAGCAAAATGCATTTACTGGAGAATATCCCATTAATCCAACTATTATATTATTATCGTATGTTGCAACTACGGTCGTATATTAGCCTTTCCTAGGTAAGATTAATGGAACAACAACAAAAATCAAGTTGTACCTTGGACGATCGATGCTACACTAGGGGTTACAATAAACTAATTATGTCCATTTTTAGATTATTTTTTATTTTCGATGGGCGACGCCCATGCCAATCCATGAACTAATAAAAGGCTAAAGACACGCTGTTGATGCCATACGAGTAGTGGTAAGATTAGATTACTGTACACTGTACAGCCAGTCGACCGTTTATTTAAAGTTTAATCTAGATATACAATACTCACTGAAGACTCAGGGGGTCTTTTACAAGAAATAATTCTAATTGATGTATGTATCTACGTACTATTATTGTTGTTACAAGTTGACTTTTACTGTGTATCGCTAGTTATAAATATTTCATGCGATAAGTAGCTATTACTACTATAATTTGACTTGTTGGTGACTGGTAATGCTTCAATTATGATCATCGAAACCCCGATAATTGTACAATAGTTGATCGCTATGCACCGAAATATTAAATTAATGACTAGCTAAGGATTATTAGTAAAGTACTCGTAAGTAGAGCAGAAGATCAACTATAACGATACACAGTAGGGGCAAGTAGAGTTCCTCGCTATTGGACAATGTTGTCAATAATGAGTCTAGCACTGGTATGAAATATCTATTATACGCGTACTGTAACAATGGCTATATTGCCATTTGCTTTCTACGTCAAGTTAGGCTGTCATCAGCGTAAAGTGTAATGTTGTGGATAGTTTATGAATTGCATATGTTATTATCCAGAATATGTATTACCGCAATGCAATGATGTGAAACGGCGCGATGTGGTTTTTAGTATTTAGAAATACTGTATAAGGTACTTTGCATTCAAAACGAAGAAGGGTTGTTTCCTTATTTTCTTTGTCACATATTTTATCAGGAAATATGACCACGATTATTAATTAATTAATTATATATTAATAATTTATTTCATGGAGACAATCCGGTAATCAGTAGACGTGATTCTATTCACTATCCATTGTTGTGAATAAGCGAGAGAACCCCAACAGACTTCACTGTTTACAAGAGCCTATCCACAGGTACACCTACATATGAAAGAATTTGCATTTGACTGCAAAATATTATTTGCTTGCCTATTTCTCGGTCATTAATAGCCCATGACTACCCAACCTTGGGCACTGTCGTATTTTAATAATAGATAGTAATATACTGTGATAATAAAATTCCGGCAATCCATCGATGACGAAGATTAGATTAGCAAGCATTGATTATGCTGCATTCAATGATAATTTACTTGTATACAGTATGTCATATACAGTAATGCTCGTCGAATAAAGGCTACATGGAATGGCCTGATTTCCAATTGCAATTACCTTGATGATCTTGTATCATCTATGTGATCGTATCATGTTATAGAATGGTCATTTGGATGTTTCCCATTGCCATTGAATGTTGCAGAGTTGACGCGTATTTCTGCGCGTGTACTTGGTATACTGTATGTCATACTGTACCAGTTGTATTTGAATCATGGCCGATTGGCGCCAGGCTAGAGTACCGGTGTGATTGACAACATGCATTTTATTCCCTTATTTATTTATTGGGGAGTTTACTTCAATTTGTTTTTATCGTGTAGAATTTTTGCCTCATGTCACCTTGTCTATTTTGGATATTTGTGCAGCTGCATCAACCTGACAATATGTAGTCTTGTTCAGCGAGTGATTCTACTGTGTACTCGTATATGATCCATTGGTTGAGGTCCGTTCTGACTTCTGAGAAAGCGTTTGAATCATTTCATGCCTTTATTCGATTAATGTGAGGAAATTGCGAGTCAAAACCCAACACTCCACTACTGGATACGATCCTCTTGCTACTAAATTGTGCACTGAGCGTCCGTTATTAATTGATTGGAAAGTATGAACAATTGAACTCAATTTGATCGTTATTGAATCTAAACTATGATACACTTACAGTATCTAGATATACAGTATACAGTAGTACAACACCCATGATAATAGTGGGTGGACTGGTAGGAGGACTCTGCGATCGCAACCGTTGTCCGCGGTTGCGATCGATGCTAACAATAAATTCTCTTTTCCATTACAATCATTCAAAAGATTTTGGAAAGTTAGGTCAGCCAATGGTGAGCTCGGACACTAGACGTCACGCTGATCTCCAACTGAATGGATCCATTTCATTGGCTTGTGGTCTCCATCACGTGTTGGCCAAATGATTCAATCGACCGATTTTTTCCAAATCATCCTCCGCCCACGTACGGTGTTATAGGATGCGTGTTGTGGGTCAAGCGAATCTCCGCCTTCGACCACAATGTTCAAGTGTCCACTGTAATTATATTATTTATTATTCATTATTGATTGAAGTGACGATAGCGTGTTTCTTCTTCTCTCTGCCGGGCTGTCCATGCATTATTATTGTAATAGTATTTATTTCTATAGCGTAGCCACCAGTGAGAAGACAGTTTATTGGAAAAAAAGGGAAGGCCTTATTTGATATGGCGCTTCTATCATAATAACCATTGATGGGCAGGTCATGGGCAGGTGCACGTTGTACAGTAGGAAACGATGCTCCAACAGATGACGATGCTGTACTGATAGCGTACAGTATTATGATAAGACGAGTCCACTACCCGTTGTACTGTACACTGTACAGTACAAACACGGAAGCATACGCTAAAGTACTAGCCTATCTTGTTTTGGACGAGTTCACGCGCTGTTTTACCTTTGCACACTCAATCATATATCATTCATGATGGTCAATCGTCTCAGCTTGGGACAAGCGGATGATGAATCATGATATCATCCACTTAGATCATAAACCATCTGTAAAACGACAAGAGGAAATATTACTGTACCTACAGTACAGTACTGTACGGTCGAGATATTGTTGGGATCGGATGATGTACTGTACACTGTACTGTACAGTATGCACTGTCCATTGTCCAATGGAGTGGTGTACTGTACATCTACAAGACGTAGTACTGTGCACTGTACAGTAGATTGGACTGTAGGCTACAATGCCGTACTCAGTTTGCTACAGAGAATGGAGGCGTTGAAGCGTAGTATTTTTAGCCTTGATGGCGTACGCAGTGTATTGCAAGTAATCCTCGCTACTGTATCATCACCGCGATTGTCCAGAGTTCAATGGACACAAGAACAGGTCGCGGCGGCAGCCGGTCTACTGCGTATATTACCATAGTACGCCTCAAGGTGGGGTTGCAGTCTTGGCAAATCCCTTAGCCGGTAGCAGATCATTTCGTCTGAGCATCAAGGCGTTTGCGATCCATTTTTGAAGGAAAAAAACATCGAGCGAGGTAAGCCGGCAATCATTGTATTTGATTTTGTAAAGAATGAGCCAAGCAAGTGCCATGGAAATAGAATAGAGATGGCCTCAGTCCATGTCCATTGCATTTTAGCATGGACAAGACGTTTACATAGTTTATTTCGCCGTTGATAAACGGTTCCAATCAAGGTGAAGGATTGGACTGCTTGGTACGCACTGTTTTGACTGGAGAATAAGTGCGCTCGGCTTGGTTTTTGTTTCCTACTGATGCTTGTACCAGTCGCGTTGTACGGTACAGTGCGTTTCCTGGCCCAACCAACTGTTCATTTTTTTTTCCAATCTAAACTCGGCAAACTTTTTTTTTCCTCAAGGTTCTCATTTGTCGCCATCGTGTCTTGACAATTTCTATTGCAACTGACTTGATGTTCAATACATGCCTACTTTGCACTCGCTAATTGTGATGAAAAAAATAAAATTGAACTTCAACTGAAGCCTATCTTGTCTTTTTTTTTTCTTTTTTTTTTAATTTTGACCTTCTCCAACAGTAAGAAACATGGCAGATAACGAAGGCAAACCTCGCAGCGTCGCTGAAGTCATCAAATCATCCGTCAAGGTACCTATTACTGGATTTGTAATTTTCTTTTCCATCTTTGCAACCATTGGTGGTTTCCTCTTTGGCTATGATATCGGGTAAGTGGAATTAAAAAAAAAAAAATAAACCACATCTTATCCATGGCGAAAGGCCAAAACTGGAGGGTGGGGTGTAGGCCTTGGCCAACACAAGATGTCATATGACGCTATGTTGTCCACTTTCCTCCACTGTACAATACAGTACTGTTGTCTTCATACTCGACTTTGCTGCTGTAAAGTTGTCATCTGTTCTGTTTACGCATTGCACACCATTTTAGATCAACGTGTTAAGTAAACTGATCCTTTGAAAAGTCAGTTGGTCAGTTTATCCGGTTTTTTTTCTTCGGTTATCCTCTCGCTGCCCATTGTATAGGCAAGCCAAGTTATTAATATCTTTTCCCATTGACTGTATACCTAGTTATACTGTCGACTTGGATATTGGAAAGTTGACTTACTGCAAAAATTGCTCGTGTACCAGTATATTGCGCCATCATTTTGCAACCTTTCCACCCCCCTTATTGTCCACTAGTGTAAAACAGATGAGCTGATCCAATCTCCAAGGAATGATAAAAACTGCAATCATCATGATTGTTGAAAACTGAGACGATGCTGCTTTGACACCATGACCAAGCTCCCATTTGAAAAATCTTTATCATCACTCATGATAGGCGCAATCTTGCGCGAATATCGACGGTCTTTCTTATTACTGTCATTGATTGTACACTCCAAGACAGTATACCGAAAGGGAAAAAAATGAACATAGAGCCAATTCCATTTTTATTGTCATCATTTTGTATCTCGCAAACGCTTACCGGATTAATGTTAACGTACGTATAGAAACGCATTTGCGCCGTCTATCCCATATGACCCACCAATTTTTCGGGGGCTTTTATGCTGTTGATCCAACTTGTAGACTTGCGCTGTTTGACATTCACTTTAGTAGATTGGATCAAAGTTGGCATGCACGTACTTGAATCATTTTTATCCCTTGTAGAGACCAGCCGTTTACTGTTCTCAATATACGCCTATTTCAAAAACTTGATTGTAATTTATGAGTTTACTTCAAAGTTTATATTGAACCGTCCAGTAGTAGCAGTCAGTAGACCACGGATAGCGTTACCGGCGCCGATATTACAAATGTATTTTGTGTGTGAATCTACGATTGCAAAGTAGTTGAATTAGCAATTTGGAAATTAGAGTGAAGGATGACAGTTGATTGTAAGTTATGTTCGCGATGCCATATCATCCATTGAAACTAATATTGCAAACACCGAGTGTAATTGGCACATTCAACACGGAGCCTGACGGTTGTACAATGTACAGTACAACTGGTCCTTTGCTTTGGTGATTCATGGAACAAAAAATTAATGTGGTTAGCAACATCTTGAATGATTTCAATTCCTCTCGTCGATATTGAAAGAAATGAAGGTGATGCGTAGACGATATCCTTGGATGATTGAATTATGCATGTATAGAGAGATGACTACAGTACCTTTGAAGTTCATCTTAATTGAATTAAAAATTAAAATAGGCAACTTTATACAAGTGTAGTACTCTGTACATGCAAAAATGCTGCCTATTCAGGCCCGCCCGCTCCAACTATTGCTTCCAATTGCTATCGACTAACGTCCCTTTCAAAGCATTTTCATCAGTCCAGCACTTGTAACGACTTCATTACTAACAGCAGCCTCTCCAGCCATTTTGGACGGGGAGGGGGGAAATTTTTCCATGGTTGTCTCCAGCTTTGAAGATGTGTACTTTTGTCTATTTTGTCCCTTTCAAAGCATTTTCATCAGTCCAGCACTTGTAACGATTTCATTACCAACAGCAGCCTCTCCAACCATTTTTGATAGGGAGGGGGAAACTTTTCCATGGCTGTCTCCAGCTTTGAAGATGTGTACTTTTGTCCCTTTCAAAGCATTTTCTTCAGTCCAGCACTTGTAACGACTTCATTACCAACAGCAGCCTCTCCAACCATTTTTGATAGGGAGGGGGAAACTTTTCCATGGCTGTCTCCAGCTTTGAAGATGTGTACTTTTGTCCCTTTCAAAGCATTTTCTTCAGTCCAGCACTTGTAACGACTTCATTACCAACAGCAGCCTCTCCAACCATTTTTGATAGGGAGGGGGGAAATTTTTCCATGGCTGTCTCCAGCTTTGAAGATGTGTACTTTTGTCCCTTTCAAAGCATTTTCTTCAGTCCAGCACTTGTAACGACTTCATTACCAACAGCAGCCTCTCCAACCATTTTTGATAGGGAGGGGGGAAATTTTTCCATGGCTGTCTCCAGCTTTGAAGATGTGTACTTTTGTCCCTTTCAAAGCATTTTCTTCAGTCCAGCACTTGTAACGACTTCATTACCAACAGCAGCCTCTCCAACCATTTTTGATAGGGAGGGGGGAAATTTTTCCATGGCTGTCTCCAGCTTTGAAGATGTGTACTTTTGTCCCTTTCAAAGCATTTTCTTCAGTCCAGCACTTGTAACGACTTCATTACCAACAGCAGCCTCTCCAACCATTTTTGATAGGGAGGGGGGAAATTTTTCCATGGCTGTCTCCAGCTTTGAAGATGTGTACTTTTGTCCCTTTCAAAGCATTTTCTTCAGTCCAGCACTTGTAACGACTTCATTACCAACAGCAGCCTCTCCAACCATTTTTGATAGGGAGGGGGAAATTTTTCCATGGCCGTCTCCAGCTTTGAAGATGTGTACTTTTGTCTATTGTTTGCATTATTTATTTATTTTGCAGTTGTTTTGTTGGACTGCAATTGTGACAATTGTTCCAGCGGTCCAACGTAGTAGGCCAGCGATACAAAGGTTTTGCGCTGACTACGTGCTGGTACAATCAGTACGGACTGCATCCAGTCACACGCTACACCAGGTGATGCACTTGGACACCAATTGACAACGACGTTACAATGTTGCCGTTGGTCGCGCCCTTCCCTTGCCTTATTGGAATGACACCAATATGGAGTCTAGGCTATATCGCGTGCATAGGACAGTATTGCGGTACAAGGTGGAAAGGTCACGTACTTTCTTTTGCTACCGTTGACATCAGCCCAGGCTAATATCTGACACAGTCTTGACACTCGGAAACTCTTTGCTACAGTATTGTGTAGTCATAATGGATGGATGATTGTGGCTGTCCCATGAAGGATTACTTACTGTACAGACTAGAATTAACCCTCAAGCACGCCCTACCGGAGCCGAGAAAAGCATTTCCCTTTTCTCAGCATCAAACAGCCACTCCAGTACTGTAAGACGACATGGATAGCATGATGAGAAGGATTGTTGTCGCAGTGTTGCCCACAGTCAACTACTTGTGTACGGCCGTTGTGACTGCGATCGTCCAGGGCCGAGAAAAGCATTTCCTTTTTCTCAGCATCAAACAGCCACTCCAGTACTGTAAGACGACATGGATAGAATGATGAGAAGGATTGTCGTCGCAGTGTTGCCCACAGTCAACTACTTGTGCTCCTGTACGGCCGTTGTGACTGCGATCGTCCAGGGCCGAGAAAAGCATTTCCTTTTTCTCAGCATCAAACAGCCACTCCAGTACTGTAAGACGACATGGATAGAATGATGAGAAAGATTGTTGTCGCAGTGTTGCCCACAGTCAACTACTGGTGTACGGCCGTTTTGAACTACGATCGTCTCGACATGACGCAACAAACGATCGTACCATTTCCTGATGGCCATGTTGATCCACCTTATTCAATGTCTACAGCAACCTTGCCTACTTTGATACATCATCAATTCAGTTCTTGAAATGTCTACTCATCAATGAATGCTATCTCGAAGTCATGGACTATAGCTTGGAAGAAAAACCAACTGCGTCCAAGTAAACTCCATCTCTCACTTTCAACCAATGTCAAATGATTGAACCCATTCAGCCACGTCAGTCAAAAATCACTTTTCAACGTCAATATTTCCACTATCAATGACCCCGGCTAAAAGCCAACATATCGACAAAACAAATGGGGATTCTATCAATGAGAAAAATAATAAAAAAAAAAACCCTGAAAACAAGATCAATACCAACCCCCAAAGTCATTTCCAAGCCATCATTTGCCCTGTCTACATAAGTGGAGAGTAGCATTCCCTTCTGATTGGCCAATGGTGTCCTGAATATAGGATAGGTTGATCGACTTTATCCAATTGAAGCAGTTGAATACATCGACATCTGCTAGACTCGACTTGTTTCTATCTTACTCCAAAAAGTAGCTGAGTAAGGACAATTCTTGCCAGTAATCCAAACATGGATTACAATAAAACTACTTCCATTCTTGTCATGAATTAATTAATCGGCAAAGTTGGTAGACACACCTTCCCAAATAATACTATAATTTACTGTAGACTCTTCAACGATTCCGATCGAGTCTTATCACCATGATGGTAACATCTCGATCGAATACTATCCTACCCCTAATAGCGTACGGTGGCTGATATACAAGCTACCCAAGAGTATTTTTACATCATGTATTTCTATTAATCATTTCTTATCCTTTCCATCAGCATGGATAATGCCCAAAAATAAATACATGGATTAATCTCCATTGAAAGGACAAAGAATTGAGTCAACTTATTAATACTAACATTGACGTGAAAGAAGTCGACAATCACGTAATCAGTTACGCTTCGGTAGTCATACATTCTAGCCAATGTATCCTCTTCTTAGTCTCGATCTTTCTATAGCGACGATCCTATTTGGGTGATACTATACAGTCTTACCTTGACAACTTATTGTACAATGCAGACATCAACTAATGGACGATAATTGATATAATCCGGGACATCTGACAAGGGTGTTGAAGTGTATCGAATATGCAATAAAGTCAGACGCATAAACTCTGTAGATGGGCATCAACGGAATAGCTACAATGGATCACAGCTTCTCAATAAAATTACATACTGTAATACTCGCCGTACAATTGTATAGTAGTGAGTAGATATTTGTTGAAGAAAACCACTACTTGTATGTGGAAAAGAATGATGAATTGCAACTCTCCCCAACTGATATACATAGGATACTGTCAAGTCGACAGTCTAGTCAGTTTATAGATGATGGTTCACCATGATTTGAAACTTCAAAATGAAACATGACAACGTGAATAATTACTGTACTGTATTCAAAAGAAACCAAATACTTCGCTGCTGACTTTGAAAATTCATTCGAAAAGCCTTTTAGTCCACTAAATACTAATATTCTTTGCTAATCTCACTCTTGTATCGCTAATGCAAAAAGACTTATAGAAATTTCTATTTGAAACTTGTAGCATTTACTCACTTTTACTACTTCCGATCGATACCGCCTTGTGTCGCTCCCTCTTGTCTTACTATCGATATATTATATATATTATGATATGATTATAATTTGCCTGTCAATGCAATTATAGATGAAAAGAAAATTAAATTGTTTGTACTCTGTTCTCGAAAATGAATATCACTACACTTACAGTGGTAGTTACTAATATGACGTTGATCATCTTTTCCATTATAGTATCATCGGTGGTGTCACAAATATGCGACCATTCAGAATTAGCATGGGCTTACCTCCCAACAGTACTGAAGGAGAAGGTGAAGATCTTGCCAGTGCAATTGTAAGTGTTGTATACGGACAGCATTTCTCATTACCATGCCATTTTGGGGGTTTTTCCCTACTGCACAAAGACACAAAGTGCTATGTGCCTGTCCTGTAATTAAATCATCGCAGTTATTCATTGAAAATTCTGTCGAAATTAATCCTACATACGGTACCTTTCATGATGACGAGAAATATTGAAAGCACTCAATTGTCCAATTTGATATCCGATACACAAATGGCTATAACCTACCTTGTACTATAATGTACAGTACAGTGCAGTTATCCAGCCTCTTAATTTCCGTCTTGTACTGATTTTATTTAGAGTGATTGTGCGTCATAAAATGTAGTACATAATAATCAGTAGGGGTAGGGTCTACTGAATAAAGGACAGTAATTTATTTTAAAAGTAACTCCTGACGGTAGACATACCAAATGTTCATAAATAATAACATAATCGCTATTCTAAAAGCAGCTTAGCTTACTACAGTTATTCGTGCATTCAGTACGATGAAAAATTTTTACTACACAACATACACGCAACTTTTGATAACGAACATGTTGTCAATTTGAATCCTATAATAAAAATAACGTTAATTTAGCGCTTAGCCAAATGTTATGCAACCACAAATACAACTATTTTATTGGTTAATTGCCAAAGGAACAAAATGATTTGCAGTAATTAACACGTACTCGTATATCGATCTATTAACTGTTTAGGGAATTATTGTCTCATCTTTCTCTCTTGGCTGTATGGTTGGTGCATTAAGTGCCGGATGTAAGTGCAGTAATTATATACTGCAAAAGTCTTTCTACAGTAGCAAAGTCATACTTTTCTCACAGTATATAAAATACCTTGTTGACACACGCGTATTTATTATAATTATTATGAATTACCACTTAGCAAACTAACACCTACAATTAAATGATATAGGGTTGTCCGATGTGTTTGGAAGAAAAATGACTGTTCTTGTGGGATCTACCATCTTTACCGTCGGCGGTGTCTTCCAAGGTGCCGCAATCTATTTGTGGTACGTACACGAATAATAAGACTGATTTAATTGTTATTAATTACCGTTCGACGCTTTTTGCCAAATAATAAATGGACATCGAAAATTTCAAAATTTTATTACCATTAGGATGATGATCGTCGGCCGTGTTGCAGCTGGTCTAGGTGTCGGTATCATGAGTATGGTTGTGCCATTATTTAACGCTGAAATTTCACCGAAAGAACTTCGTGGTCGTTTAGTATCTTTACAACAACTCAGTATCACCTTTGGAATTATGGTAATTATAAAATCCATTTTTATATTCACATTGTCATATAGACTGCGTGGATGTTTACTCAGTTGCAAATAATTTTGGTCAATTAGATCAGCTTCTTGGTTAATTTAGCTGTAGAAGGTGTCGAGATTGGATGGCGTATCTCTCTTGGTTTGCAATCTGTTTTCTCAATCATTCTTGTTATTGGTATGCTCATGTTGCCTGAAAGCCCTAGGTAAGGGATAGAATATCCTTCAAGAGTCATGTTTACTTGAATGTATACCGTACCCAATCGATAATTGGAAATTAGAAAAGTAGAAATTATACAAGATCGTTCAGTATGTGTTTGCATACATTTATATGATTCGTTAGCATGTAGCCATAAGAAAATAAGAATAAAATAGTTACCGTCGATAACTGCTATTTAAATCCAATTCTACTTTTGCTAGATGGCTAGTAAAGAATGGTGAAACTGGCAAAGCGCTAAGTGTATTGCAGCGTTTGCGAGCTGGTGCTCATGGCCAAAATGCCAATGTCGCACAGGAGGAACTTGACGAAATTGTCGATAGCATCGAGGCCGAAAGAGCTATTGGTGAAGGTACTTGGAATGAAGTATTCTGCGCTCCAGATTCAGCTAAGAGGTAATAAAATTTGAGTCATATTATACCTTAAAATTGATACTGATTTTTTTATGCTATTTATTTATATAGAGTTGTCATCGGTTGCGGTTGTCAATTCTTTCAACAATTTAGCGGTATTAATGTTGTAATGTAAGTCCTATTACATATTAAGTTAATTAACATTTGCAACAACGAAATAATTTTATGCTGTAAAAAAATATTATTACAAAATTATGTAATATGTGACAAATTGGATGTGCAGGTACTATTCACCAATCATTTTCGATCATGTTGGTGTACCTCCTCTTATTTCGACCGCAGTCGTTGGTGTTATTAACTTTTTGAGCACATTTATTGCTCTTTATATCATCGACAAGGTAAGTCAGATATTTGCCTACTGCAGTGAAAGACTACCCTGCTAAGTAGTCTTCCATAACCCAGATAAAGTATAGATGCTGCAATCTGTAATTCTTATCGCATTGATACTGATATATATTCAATACTGTAACAGGTTGGTCGAAAATTCTTAATGTTAGTTGGTGCTATTGGCATGGTTATTTCCCTATTCTTTGCTGGTGCTTTAATTTACGCCGTCGATGTTAGTCAAAATGTTGGTGTTGGTATCGTTATTGTCGTCTTGGTCTGCTTATATGTTAACAGCTTTGCCTATTCCTGGGGGTAAGTTTTCAGTCTATTAATCGTGAAAGTATTGATGTAGATAGTGTTTTCTAATATCTTGCATTTACACTTGCGTAATGATATTCGATTTATTTACAGACCTTGTGCATGGGTTATTACTAGTGAAATCTTCCCACTTCGTCTACGTGGTAAGTACTTGGCTGTCTCGTATACTATCATAGAGTATAATGCTGAGTTTAGTTACTACTATCGTGTAATATTTTGAAATTGTAATTCCAGGCAAAGCTGTCAGTATTACAACTCTTACCAACTGGATCGGAGTTTTTGTCGTTGCACAAATTACGCCATTGCTTTTGCAGCCGAATGTTCTTAACGTTCAAGGAATGTTTATCTTGATGGGAGTATTCTGTACTGCTGCCTTCTTCTTCACATGGTTGCTTGTTCCAGAAACTAAGGTCATTAGCATTAAGTAAACAGATTGAGATATCTCAATAAAATTAATTCTGTTTTTATTTGTTGTATTGAAATGTAGAGTATATTAACGTATATATCTATGTGATAACATTGTTGGATTGCCTGATTAATAGGGTGTTTCTTTGGAAGCCATGGGCCAACTGTTTAAACGTTCAAGTTGGTTCGAAATCACTAGACCAATGGCGTAATGCGTGAAGAATTTGCAGCATATCTTTGCTGTCGTACACCACAAAGACCTGTCTCAATCCACAAACCAGCTCGTCCTGAGCAAGCTACCGCAGCAGTATAAAATCCACCACTGACTCTTGAAACATATTATAATTATTAATGGATATTATAGTCATCATGCATCAATACTCGATGTATTGAAGCTTTTTATATAGGTCAACACTTGTAATAGAAAATCTACGACAGCAAAATACTGCATTTCTATCTTTGAAATAATCTACCATGACTATCGGAGCATGTTGTTAAGGAGTGTTAAAAAGTACGACAGGGAAATCCAGTTACTTTATCCAAGTCTTAAGCTGTTAAATATCATTAGCTAGATAGCAATACTAATCAAATGATAAGTTACTTTTGTCGTTGCTATTGTAATCTTCATTTAGTTTTTAAATGTTAGCATCAAACTATTGTAATTGTTTTGAAATGAATTGACAAAGTAGGTAAAAGGATAAATTGTTGAACTTTGGTAGTTATTTCATTATTTGCTGCTATACCATTTAGTTATACGTTCAATGATAGCACTGACTCTTTGTCGTCGATTATAGCTTTAACGTAACGTCAGTTGTTTTTTTTGTTTTTTATAATTTTAATGACTAAGTTTAGGCGATAATTTGTTTTAATTGATGTTTAAGTTATCAACATTATTTGTGTTTTGCCATCTTATTTGTGTATTTTTATTGAACGTTTTAACTGCTCTAAATACCACGTTTAGCCATGATGGCTCCAGCCAGCTTACTAGTTTAACAATACAGTCATCTACATTAAGATATTTGTCTTGTCGGTGGAGGTATATTAATTACTTATTTGTAAGAGCTGCAGGATTTGCTTTTATTAAGTGATCTACTTTGAAGGGTACTATAAAATGATGCGTCGATCCAATGCAAAATTGCAAAATGCGTTCACTTTAATGTTGATATTCAAAGAGATTTTGGTCTTGAGATGACAGTAAAACAGTGTAGAAATAGGGTATGCAACCAAATATGGATACTTATAAGTAAATTGATATGATGGTGATATTTACGTAATCGATCCTCTCTGTTTCTTCAGCCCAGTCAATTATGTCTATTATTAATGCAGTAGTAACAAACAAAATGGAAATTCGATATTAAAAATGCACATTGTGCACGATCAAAATACTCGAAATCTTTCTTTAGTTGCAGGTCATGAATTCTTGAATTAGTCTAGAACTATTTTAGTATACGACTCGTACTAAAAAAAAATTGATTCCATGAATTATATTTCACTTTGCGATATTCAATCTCGACACTGCCATGGAGCAATAGCAGAACAACGAAATTGTAATTTTATTTAGACTTTGTATAATATTATCAATTTGGCAACAGCTGATACATTTATTTCCTGTGCTATGATGAATTTAATATACTAGATAGTCAACTGGCTACAGTCTATTATTATGAAATTTGTTGTAGATATTCAATTCTTCACAGAGAATCATGTCCAGCTACACTAGTCTGTAAATATTGCAAATTAAGATTTGTAAACAAGATTTCACCTTCTTATTATTTAACTTTTAGTTTCACATATTCATGCTAGACAGTAAATAGCACTTGTTATTTGGAATAAACAAAGGAATGGTCTACTATATCGAAAACAAGGAAATGAATTTAAAATGAATTAAATGTACGTAGACCTATACGAATAGTATTGCATAAGACAGTAAGATATATAGCATATTATCTTATGATACACTATGGTGTAGACCATAAAAAGAGGAGTTGGCGAATGCCATTTGTAATTAAAATTACAGAGGTAGTCAGATCTACAATACCGCTTTGGCAGCAATAAAGATCTCCAACTGTACGTTACAAAGAGTGTTGTATTTTCCTATGAGGACCACTAACCTCCCTTGATATCCGATGATCGTAACATGCACCATCGTTGAATCTAACTGAACTTGACTAGAATAATCCGAATTGTGCCCACTTTACTCCAACAACTGTAGATGAGTACACTGACTTTGGCTATCCTAATTCACGACGGCTAGGCCTGCGTCAAAGTTGAGTCTCTTTGAGGAAATAATACCTAACACTATATCTAAAGTTTTTAACGGTTGTATATTCTAGATTATTGGGGATCATTATTAGGAATTTATATGTTCTCTGAGTAAAATCGTCACACCTGTTTCTTTGCTTAGGCTGTCCTTCATTTAAACGCAATATTAATTAAAAAATCGAAGACTATATCAGTATGCATTGCTTTTAGTAATATGCAAGTAGCAAGGGTAACTTACTGATATTATTGCCTATATCTATAAAAGCCGTATATTGTACAGGCTACACATATTTTCATGCATTTCATATTGCTTTGTTTTACGAAGAGATTATTTTATTTATTTCGATTATTCTTTTAATCGACTTTGATTTATTATGTATGAATCTACAATTCTACATTATTATTGTATTTCTTTTCCTAGTTTACTTACCTAATTTAATTATTAAGCTATTCATACGCTCTTTTAATCCCTCTCAATGATGTATTTATCAATAAAATGTGCAATTATATCTAATGGTACTACTATTCCATCTGATACTATTTCATAGACTAATATCTAGGCAGTTTGATTCAATAGTGGGATGGAGATGATCAAGAAACAGCTGTGACTAAATTTATGTATTGGTTATGTATTTATAGGATTCGAATGCTACTGATTCGTATTGGCTGTATTCCTACGGCGCCAATTGTCTTTTCCTAATATTCTCATCTTTTATTCATGATATGCAATCCATGATAGATATTATTTGTAGTTAATTATGCAAATTAATCCATCTTGTAATGGTATCACCAGAATTACGCAAACTACACGGTCGCTAAAAGGAAATGAATAGCAATTGGCATGGAGAGCTACTTATACAAACGCAGAATATGGATAGAAAAGGTTGACAGGAAGGTGGAAAAGAAAGTTGTTGCAATCATCGTTCATTGCAATTGCAATTGACCGGAATAATCGAAATCCTGCCCATTTTAACTCTACTTCAACTAGTGTGCTATAGACGAGTGCACAGTATTGAGTGATATTGTATCCATTTATTTTGGTTTACTTAAATCCATTTTGGATCATCTTGCATCAAAGTCAAGTATCCTAGACGACATCAAAAACTTACAAGGAGAAGGTGAGAATGGTGATAAAGCGTAGAACAAGCGCAATTTCCATTTGGCATTGTCGCATTGGACACGAACTGTAGAACGACTTAAATCGATGCCCAATGGCGATGATGATGTCGAGTGGATTACAAGCTTTCGATAAATACTTTAATGCTATAATGTCAGGCTTTCCATGCAACCATTTGATAATAGCGGTCCACAGAGTGTCCAGTAAGAGCAGATTTTACCTCGATTTCCATTATCAGCCTACCTTGAAATATCTAAAGAATTGATTCTTTGTACTTTATTTTTGGATGCAAGCGCTAACAGTTCTAGTAACTTCTTAAATGATTGAAATGCTTGTCAAGATGCTATGATGGGCATAGGTTAAACAAAGTTAATCTTTAAATCTCAGCTGTAAACGTTTTTAGCCTAGTATATTAGTTTTCACTGCTATAGAACGAAGCATAATTTGGCATTACATACTAGCATGTATACAGTATTACTACTGTAGCACCAAAAGGCATATATAAATCGATCAAGCTTGCTAATTTCTGTAATAATTACACTAAGGATAGAGCTGTTAGGGAATAATTATAAAGGGTACTATATCTTTATATTCGTATTGCTAAAGTATTGGCTCTATTTTACCTGTGAATGAATGAAGTTTGCTCTTTTTCGGAAAGATTGCACAGAGGATAGACCTGTCAGGATATGATTATAATCCGCAAAATTTCTATCCGTTTAATAATGTTGCTGCCTTGATCTTTTATTATCTCTCCTTTTGTTAATTTTAGGCTAACCGAAAAAAGCAATTTGGAAGTTCTATTTCTTAATACTCAGAGCAAGCAAGTTATTAACAGTGAAGTTATATTAGCTCCCAGCAAATTATCTGGCTCAAAGAGCATGATATTTCTTATTCTATGATTCACGTAGGTATTAGTGATCGAATTGGTCAAAGAAACTGATATTTGATCAGTATTAAGGTTTATTTCTTAGCCAGGCATAAGTTACGATGGTAAGAAATAAGCATCGGCCGTACTGACAAAGATAAAATCTTGAAGAGCTAGTAAATTACTGTCTATTCGATTTTGTATGCATTGATAATAGGTAGCATTACAATCCTTGTGACAGAATTAATTAATCAAGATGAAAAGGTAGCGTAAAATTGAAGATTGTATTTTGAGAGTAAAAATAACAATAGTTGAAATTGAGATATCAGCTATGTCCATAAAGTCTTTCTTTCTAATTTGTTCTTTTTAATGTTTGGATCTATTTTGTTTATTAATCGACTTAAATAGTGCTTGGAGTTTTAAATACTGTAAGTCTTCGTTCACTGATTAGTTATCGCTAACTGAAGTTGATATTTTTTCTATGCAGAATCATCACAGCTATATCTTTGCTGCGCCAGTCCTTCATTCAAATCCAATATTTGCCAAACAAAGATTAAATGAATATAAATTATCTTTAAAAGTATAGGAATAGAAAGAGTATCTTGTTGATGGGGAATTATCACAATAGTTACTCAATTTAATCACCATGCTCATATTCAGGGCTTTTTACTATGATTATGCATTTTGGAACGGGTTAGCAACAAGTGTTGAACGAAGTATTGATAAGTCAAGCAATGAATATGATACAAACGCTGCTTCAAAATGGCTACCAGTAATGAATTCTGAACATTTTGGTTATCGTGATTATAGTTAGTACCGAGATGCGTGTGCTTACCGCTATATCGTAGCCAACCGTGGTAGTTTAGAGCGATACTGCTATATTGGATTATGAGCATATACCTGTGAGTGCTATATCAACTACTCGAGAGTTTTTAGGATCAGTCGCCTCGAGGAAGGACCATTGCTAATTTCGATTTACAAATGTAAAGTACCAATAGTTAATGAATCTTTCTAGATTTAAATGCGGTCGAGTGTCAGTAGTTAGTATTCACGAGCAAGGAACCGTAGCTGGAGTACCTCTAGCAGAACGGCTAGATAGCGAGCCTCTACAGATTGCAACAACTAGAAAAATTGCAACTTTTCTCAGGTTTATTGCCGTTATTTCAAATTTTAGCAAAAACTATAGATATATTTACTGCACTACGGAAAATAAAATCTATAAGCTAACTAATTAGACTTTGTAATTATTTGATGCTAAGCAGAAATACATATAGCCTATACTTCTAGTCTTTAGCATGATATAACGAAACGATATAACGATTCGATGTAATATTCCTAAAAGTGTCCATTTTACTGTTAATCTTCAATCCAACTAGGTTTTTGAATTACATAAGCGTAGCCTATCGAAATATAGAAATAGAATATTTATAGTATGATTCGTTTAGCGAGATCTATCTTAGCATAGTAAAGTCTTAAATAAAGTAAATGGATAGGACTGATAACAGGATACTAGATTGATCGATTTGTCGTGCTTCTTCTTCGGTTAGATACTTGAATCATGTTTACATTGATATTCGTATTGCGGAGAGAGACATTTGCTATCATTTATTTATTATTTAACTGCAAGATACTTTAATATAAATAACGTAATACAATAAGCGGCAATAATATAATCGCTGCAATACATGGGAATTAGAACATTCAACATTAATGTTGCAAAATTATGGCATTATCTCTTTCGTTGTTTTAGCGCTAGCGTTAATATATATTTCTGCGAAGAGTATTACTAAGGTACATATTATGAGTTAGAAATCACTTAGATTATGATTATGTATTAAATATGATATCAACTATGGTTGCAAGAAATCTCATACGGCATAG